ACCCCGCAAAACATGATCTACTCGACCACCATTACGGTTACCGCCAAAAAAAAAAGAGGCAAAAAAAAAAAACGGTAACCTGGTTGCCGAGTTCACGAAGTGAATTGGCTTGTTTTACAACGTCGCTGCCTAGCGACGAAAACCCAACCCCGATGGTAAACACCGGGGGCGGTGGGGGGGGGCAACACGTACGGACATATATGTCGCTTCTTTGTAACCTGGTGCGAGAGGTGCGTCCCCGGAAACCAAAACCCCGGTACAACACTTCAGCACAGCAGCAGCAGCAGGCAACACAGCAGCAGCAACAAACAATCAGCCTGCCACCACAATAGCCACTGGTGCCAGCCTGCTCGTCTGCATGGCCATAACTACTGGTGTCATGCACCACAACCGCTTCCTACGTCACCTCTACCATGGCCGGATTGAAGGACCCACGCACTTCCAACAGCCAACGTGATAGCGTACAGCTAGCACCACCTACCTGTCCAAATGCCAACCCTTTCCTCTAATCGTGTACATGGATAGGTATAGAACCACACATCATAGATAGGTGCACACATAACCTAGCACCGGCGACAGTTACGGTTGACGTAGGGGAGTTGAGAAGTAAGTTGCGCACGCCACTCTGTGGGATGAAAGGCAGACGTACAATGCCCCAGGCGAGTGGACGGGTGTGTGGCCTGGGGTTTTTCTGTATGTACAACGGTTCGGGTGGGGCAAGGCGTATCGAGGAGGAGTATGCACTTGCTGAGCGTTCGAACGATTCAAAATCCTCTGGTCCCATGGAGCCAAGTGTCTACGAGCGAAGAAAGCCACACCTGTGAACAAAGCGATTTCCTCGAGAGGGGGAAACATATCACATTGCCTGCGCATGAACTCCCGTTGAGTACATGCAGGTCTGTCCGCACTGGGACCGCACACTGCACCACGCCCGAAATACCGTTAAGTGCCTTCAAGCGAAGCGAGTCAACCCGCACTGGGACCGCACGCTGCAACACGCCCGAGATACCGTGAAGTAAGTGTCGTCGAGCGAAGCGAGTTACGATGCCACACTCGCATTCACTCCACACCGATTAGTCTACATCAACAACACACCAAACCACTCTACGCCTTTACACAATGCACCCCGTCCGAAATCCCGTTAAGTGCCAAGCGAGTCGACCGCACTGGGGCCTCACGCTGCAACACGCCCGAGATACCGTGAAGTAAGTGTCGTCGAGCGAAGCGAGTTACGATGCCACACTCGCATTCACTCCACACCGATTAGTCTACATCAACAACACACCAAACCACTCTACGCCTTTACACAATGCACCCCGTCCGAAATCCCGTTAAGTGCCAAGCGAGTCGACCGCACTGGGGCCTCACGCTGCAACACGCCCGAGATCCCCCGTTAAGTGCCTCCGAACGAAGCAAGTCGACTCGCACTGTGATCGCACACTGCACCAGGCCCGAAATACCGAAAGTGCCGGCGAGCGAAGGGAGTCGACCCGCACTGGGACCGCACGCTGCACCACGCCCGAAATACCGTCAAGTGCCTTCGAGCGAAGCGAGTCAACCCGCACTGGGACCGCACACTGCACCACGCTCGAAATACCGTGAAGTGCCTTCGAGCGAAGCGAGTCAATCCACACTGTGACCGCACACTGCACCACGCCCGAAATATCTTGAAGCGTTTTCGAGCGAAGCGAGTCAACCCGCACTGGGACCGCACACTGCACCACGCTCGAAATACCGTGAAGTGCCTTCGAGCGAAGCGAGTCAATCCACACTGTGACCGCACACTGCACCACGCCCGAAATATCTTGAAGCGTTTTCGAGCGAAGCGAGTCAACCCGCACTGGGACCGCACACTGCACCACGCTCGAAATACCGTGAAGTGCCTTCGAGCGAAGCGAGTCAACCCACACTGTGACCGCACACTGCAACACGCCCGAAATATCTTGAAGCGTTTTCGAGCGAAGCGAGTCAACCCGCACTGGGACCGCACACTGCACCACGCCCGAAATACCGTGAAGTGCCTTCGAGGGAAGCGAGTCAACCCGCACTGTGACCGCACACTGCAACACGCCCGAAAAATCTTGAAGCGTTTTCGAGCGAAGCGAGTCAACCCGAATTGTGAACGCACACTGCACAACGCCCGGAATACCGTGAAGTGTCTTCGAGCGAATCGAGTTACGATGCCACACTCGCATTAACTCCACACCCACCATATCAACAACTCACCAAACCAGTCTATGCCTTTTGTTTCATTGCCCCACCTTCTCCTCCTGCGGTGCTTGCCTTAGACTTACATGTGCTTGTTTGTCGAGAAAGATTCGACAGTCCCTTTTCTTCAAGTGAAATCGCAATGGGCATACTCACGCGTAAATCGGTTCCCATCGCAAATTGCCACAACATGTTTTTTCTCTTCGCGGTCGATTCTATCTGCTGCATTCGATATGTTCATTTTGTAGGTGCTCGACGGGGCAAACGAAAGAAAAATTGAACCTCGACCCGAATTTTGACGTTTCTTTGTTTTCGGACCTTTCCGTATCCTCCTTGAGCGCGTAACATTTTTCTATCGTATCCACGTACAACGCACATGCGAAGCCCAGGAACCATGGCCGAAGCACGATTCAGTTCGCACTAAGTTGTTGATGTAGCCCGGGCGTGTGCCCCAGCCTGCAATGCTTGCCCGATATTTTGGAGCGAGAAGGGATCTGTCGTTGACAGCGCCCTCGTCCACGGTGTTGACAGGTGTGCACACAACGTTCAATCGCTACCCACAGTTGTTTGGGGGTAGCGCGAGCCAAAATCCCAGTTGGTGTGACTGCCCCATGATTTCGAACGCACATATATCCAAACGCCAGAAGTTTGCGAGGGTGCCGCTGGGGCCACTAGCGGATTGCCGTGGTCTGCTAAACGCCGAAAGATTCAGCTACAGAGTACATGGTACATGAATGTGTGCGGTACTTCGGTACTGAGGAGAGCTATCGCTACATGAGCCACCGCTTTGCGCGATACACCTATCACCCTCTTCACCCTCCTCTCCTCGTCACTTCTCATGCGCACGCGCACGGTGTGGGGTCGAAGCCGGCTCTTCTTCAGGCGCGTTGTCGTCGTAGACAGCTTGGATTGAATGAACAAACGTGTAAACGAAAATAATAGAGGAACGACGAGTCTACCATGCAGTAGTCTACGCAGCCAAGTTGGTGAAGCAAACATATGGGAAAAGTATTCAATCCGTGCTTTAGGGTTAGGGTTAGGGATAGGGTCTGCGTGCCCCCTCCCTATTATGTTCCTAGATACTCTCAAAATCCTGCGTAGGCGATCCCTACCATGATAACACCCACGCACGAGCAAAGGCTTCGCATCCACGCGCCTTGCTAAATAGAAAAGGACGTCCTCTTAGTACCTGCCCCCCGTTTGTGTTCTCGTGTACCATGCTTCGCTGGCTTTCCCCCGGCGGCTCAGGCTGCTTCCACGGACGGATTCGTCGACTGCAGATTGCAACAAGGGCCGCAGCTTGACAAGTGGGTAGCGGAGATGGCGATGCACACCCTCACTTTGGCCCGCCGATGCCGCACAGGGTGGCAAGCCAGCGGCTCCCTGATCGGGGCACTATCATCCTCGCGAAGCCGTCTTCTTTTCACGGACGACCGCGCTACTCGGCCGGGGCCGACACCTCCGCCGAGGATCGCCGGCGCGTCGATGGCCCTCACAGCAGACGCGAAACCTTCAAGCCCAAGCCCGGTTTATCCGGGTGCTGGGTTCTCTTCGCTTGCTAGGCCGAACGAGTTCGTTGCCGCCGGCTCTCCAGTCAGCAGCAGCAGCAGCAGCAGCAGCAGCGATTACACCGTTGTACAGGACGGAACGGAGAAGTTCGTTGTGGCAGCACGTGTGCTGGAGGCGAACCAGGTGCTGTTTTCTCGAGTGGAAGGCTTGGTGACGGGCGTGAAAACGCGGCACAGCGTGCAGCTCAGCAAAGAGCGGCACCTGGAAACTGGGAGTGACCTCGCACTCATGAATCATTCCTGTGAGCCCAACTGTCAGCTGGAGGTGGTGGACACGGCGGTGAGTAGGCCCCCCGGACATCAACCTTCAGAGGAAGCGTAGTTAGCAACCCAATATCAGCCCATGGCAAGACAAGCATGGGACAGCGGAACTATGTCGGTCAGGGGACGGCCGTGTTTTTTACAGGAGAGATAGACTATACACACAGAAGTCTTTCTGGAGTGACGTCTGGCTGGCGGGTCATGTACCCGATGGCGCGATACAAAGTAGGATATGGCCTTGGTTGTGTGTGAAAAACGTGATGTGCGCGACACTCACCCAGACTCAAGTCAATCCTGTGACGCGCAAAGCGAATCTGGCATGGAGGTGCAGGCACAAGTCTCCCCTCCAAAACGATGACGGCGGGACGTCTTTGCCGGCCCGTGTATGTCGGTAATGGGATGAGAAAAAGCTGCACCCGCTGTAGCGTCTCGCGGAGTCGTACGCGTGATACATTTGTTCTTGAACTCCCCAGCACTACCCAGGACCAATGAATGGGTTGGATAATGGCCATGGGCATATCCAAACCCTAGTGCAATCAGAAAGGGGTTATAGAAATCCTCAACTTCTCCACCGCTAAAAGAAGTGCACGGTCGCTTCCATTTTGTTATCACCGACTGCAACCCGCAGGAACAACCGTACCTACGTGTGACGGTCAGGGCGCCTCGAGTCCAGCCAAACGAAGCGCTGGAGATAGACTACAATGCCATGGAGATTGATATGACCTGTCCCTTCGACTGCCAATGCGGCGCGGTCAGGTGCAGAGGCTGGGTGTCGGGCTTCTCAAACCTTTCTCGGGCCGAGCAGGAGGAGTACATCGATGGGGGTGCGACGGGGTCCCCGCCCCTCACCGGCGCCGTGAAAACGTGGGCTGAGGAACACGGCATCGCATGTAGAGACTCGCAACGTTCTATGTGAACAACGCGAAGGATAAACAACGGCTCTCTGTGACAAGAGGCGTGTGGGCAGCGGCGCGGGCGGGGTCGGCGGTGAGCTATGGTGGCGGCGGTGGCATCGGCACCGCATCGAGCGTAGATCGAAGGGTTCTCTCTCTCCCTCACTTCCTTCCTTCGCTGGTACCGCGACGCCATGAACAGCCAAAATCACGAAAACACGAGTAGACTGTAGAATGGTGCTTTTTTTTCCTATCCATGCATGTACATGCCTTGTGTTGGTCTTCGTTCTCTCTGCGCGGCACGTTTCTGGCCACTTCGTCCGCACGTCTCTCTTCCTCGTGTTCGCCTCTTGTCATCACATCATCAGACATTTTCCTTAAGTTCATTTGATCCTGGCTATCCGTTATTAGGGTAGAGTGCAAGCAATAGTATGAACCGCCCATTCATGTGCCCTGACCATCCACCCTCGCCCACCCAAACGTTAGCGGAAGGGGGTGGGTGGGAGACTGGATTGACGGAGCGCGTGGAGATGCCTAGGATAGAGCTAGTTCGAATTACGTCATTTTCTTCTGGCCGGTCGGTGGTTAATGAGTTTTGTTTGGCAGTTCGTGGTTGTCGTTCTCAGTCTTCACGCCTCGTGAGCGCGTGGGACTGGGTGGGTGGTTTGGTGGGGATTGCCCTGGTCTAAGAGGAATCCCGACGGTGATCAGACTATATTCTTGCGTTTGATCGTTATGCGGCGATAGTTTGTGTTCGCACCCCTGCTTCAGTTTCCTTTCCCTGCGTGCTTTGATTTTCAAACGGATTTGCTGAACGCATCACCTCTTGGAAAGCCCAAGGCTCGGGTCTCATCACCTCGAGTACGTTCATACCTGAGTAGCCCAGCAGCAACTACAATAGTGCTGATCTACGGGACCTCCGAACGATACATGGTTTGTGAGTACGATCTTAACCACCTCCTTGAGTTGATCGTATTCGAAACCTTCCAGCTGGACCGGCCTCACCTGGAAGCCGGGATGCGGAAAGCGTCAATCCGTACGTGCAGTTAGGGCGTAAATGAGAACGGTGGGCGAGACTCGTCAAGCGCACTTCTAGGTGTCATCCTCTTTCGCAGCGTCGTCTGCGGTATCGAGCTCGGCACGCCCGGTCGGCGTAACACGACCTGCGTAGCCCGTCCCGAACAACAAAAGCAGAAACGAACCGAAACAACGAGAAAACCGTTGTTCGCTCTGCAGCCCGCTGTCGGACCGCAAACTCGGATGATTGAATTTCAAGCAGCCTCGGATGCAAGAAAGCGGCGAGCCTCGGCCCGAAGCTGCACCTTTTCCATCGCGCCGGCGTTCACGCCAGCGTGCTCGAGCCTTTCCGTCTGCCCACCGCTCTCGATCCTGCCTCCCGCGGCACTTGTCATGGAATCGATGCTCGAGGTTGCTGCTTCCTCGACTACCCCGGTCACGACATCGCCCGTTGACGCTCCGAAGGCTGCGTTCAAATCCATTCTAGGGATTGCCAGGCCGATGCAAACCTTCAGGGCGATCGAGGCTACGGCCAGCCCGACCTTGGCTGCTGACTTTGCTTTCTTTGCCCAGTTCAGCAGCTCTGTTACCTGACCAACCCAAGCATACGATGGAGAAAGAGGATGCACGTCGCCCGATGCAAGATAGGTAGTCTTTCTACAAACGTGGGACGCCAAAGAGTCGCTTGCTTTCGACTTTTAAGCTGTCACCTGCTCTCGGAAGCTGTGTGGGGAACCCAGAAAATCGTCGGAGGAGCCACTGGAGAGGACGAACATAACTAAACAAATCACAACGCTCGACTGTGCGCACCTCGTACCCTTGCCCCCCCCGGCCCGCAAACGGCGAGGCTGTAGTGGTGCGAGTAACGGAAGAACAGGCGAAGCTTCCGCGTGACCAGCCTCCTGCCCTTGGCCTGATTGCTGAGGCACCACTGCTGCAGAGCGTCCGATCAATGATCGAACCATCTTTGTTCCGCCGTCAGGGCTGGTTCCCCGCTGTCTGGGGCGAGGAGCAACCAAACTAGGCGGGGGATCGGCCACCTGCGCATTCCAACAAAGGAAGACGTACTAAGCGCAAACCCGGTCTCCCGACCCATACCGTCAATGTTGCTCTCGGGAGTGAGCATGTAGATCGCTGGCTGTTCGCAAGTAAACAGGGCGTCAATGCTGAAATGGCACCCTAGACTTTCGAATCCTCACCTCATGAAGGCCACGTTTTGCGCGATGCTGGTCAGAACATTCCTCTCCGTCTGGTTCAACCCTCCGATACCCGCGCCACTTGTCGGCGCCAGTTCGTCCCTTCCTTGCTTCCTCTTCGACGCGGAGCACAATATCCAATATCCTGTTTGGTCGCGTCCAACTGGCAGCCCATGTACAGCTGCATGCCAGCGCGCGGTCTGCTGAGCCTGTTGGCCAGGGCCTCGTCGAGGCCCAGGCTTTCAGTTCTGAGAAATTCAAGAATTCTCTTGAGCATGGCCTCCACTTTCAGATCGAGGTGCACGGGGCCGGGCCAAAAGGTACGTGGACATCGACAATATTCTTGGTGTTACGCGCTCTCTTCGAGTTGAGCAGATGGTGTTGAAGTGAAAAACGCAGAGAATCGCCTACTTTTCTAATACCACTCGTAGGATTTCGCGGCCAAAACAAACAAAAATCAAGAAACGCAGTAAACCATCTGCCACAGGCGTTACTCGTATACGACCAAAAACAAGCTCCTCGCCCCAAGATTTGTACCTCACTCGTCACGTGGGATGGATATACGCGAGACGAAGGGCACATAGGTAGCAAGCGCGAACGGTGGTCATCATCACCATTTCCAACCAAATCCCTTAAGTAGGAAAGTACACGCCACCAAGGTAATGTCAAACAATGCCAGTCAACACCTTTCGAACAAGTACCCTCGGAGGCCCTTCAGGCTGTCCTGCCACGCTTCCTTCCCTTCCCCTTCGGTGGGATCAGCCGAAGCATCCAACTGCAGTCCCGGGTAGTACTGCTCCAAGAGTTGCTCCATGCTGCCCTTCGCACGGAACCCAACCTTAGACACGTCCTGTAAGGGCCCGCGATGTTAATCTCGATCGCTCGTCGGGGGCCAGTGCCAGCCTCCTCGAGACGCACCAGGCATTCCTGGCCGCTCATCATGAATGCCAGCCCCCTGGTTCGGCAGGCGCAAAACACAATGTTTTCCCTGCAGCAGAAACCGCCCAGGAACAGCGGGATAGTCGCCGGCGGGACGTGCTCGGCGTCGGCAGTGATCACGAGCTGCATCCGGGTGCTCTGGGACACTGCTTGCTTCAGCATAGCGAGGGAGGCCTCCGAGACGCTTCCTGGCAGCCGGGCGGGCACCATAAGATCTCCCACCCTTCCCTGGTTCCCGTCGTCGTCGAACAGGAACATCACGTCGTGCAGAGCCAAGGTCTCGAGCAGGCTGCCGAAGACCTCGTCGTCGATGACCGTCACGACCTTCAGCCAGAGGAAGCCAAGATACTCCACGGATAGCATCCCCGATATAACGTGCTTTCTGTGAGTGGGAGGTCGGGATAGTTTCTGTGAGCAGGAGGTGGGGATAATGATGCACACTGGAACAAGTTGATCCCAGCAGAATTTCTTCCCGCGTTGAAAGATTGCAACATTTTCCGAATCAGCTCGTCGCCACCCTTTTGGCGGCGAATCCGGCCTCAGGACGTGGTGCAGTTCCTCAATACCATCTGCTCCCCATATCACCTTTGGTGGCACCTATCTGCCTTAGCGACAGTTATACACAGCTGCACACGCTGTCGTCATTGGCCGCGGGTTTTCCTTGTTGTGCCAACATCCCAATCTGGTCCTACTGTACAGCAGCAACTCTTCGCGGTGGCCGCGGACGCGCAGCAACAAGAAGTATACTCCCTGAGAGCAAACCCAACTTTTCCCTGCCAGAAAAATTCTGCCAAGCTCGTTTTGTGGATTTCATTTACGCCTCAAGCAGACCGTGCCAACGTTGAGGGGCTTGGGACCCGGTTCGTGTCAGCCATTCATTTGTCGATAGCGCTCCAATCCGCGTACCGATAAACGCTCCGTGCTTGGCATAGACTATAGACTATACAATCTATTAACCACGATAGTGCAACACGTAAGAGAAGTGGCCGTTCAGCAGCAGAGGAGCTGATGTGCTGCGGGTTTTCCCATGACTTCATCTGATTTCTAGAACCTCATTTGCTATTTGGTGCGAGTTCGCAACGCCAACAGTTCAAACCATCGATCGTCACAAATAGCGCGAACCATACCTGTGGGCCTTAGGGTCGTTCTTAACGCGCCGCAAAAAACTTGTTTTATTCTTCACGGAATCATAACTTTTAACACGCAACCGGTTCCGGGTTTTCCATTGATTCTTAGTTAATGAGCCTGTTGAACACGATGCATGCTCACGATGGTACTCCTCTAGTTCCCCCCGCCACTACGTGTCCTGGATTTACAACAACACGTAGACTAGAGGAGACATATAAACTAAAGTTGTCGCCGCCATTCCTCGGGAACTGTGACCCGCTCCTATCCAGCAAGCCTGGGGAGTACCGTATATGGCACAAGATAGCACACCCCCTGGATCAATTTTCAAAGCTCAATTACGCCACAATTTTCAGAGCTCTCAACGAGACAGCTTCATTGCCACCGGTTTCAGCGCTGTGACTCTTTCTGCTGCTTAGAAATCGGGGTTTGAAAATCGGTCCTGGGGGTTTGTTATCTTGTTGTTAAGGAGTGTGGCTGCTAGCATGAACAGGGTACATCTTATTCTCGATAGGGTGCGGGTCGGTCAGGAGGTATACCCTTCTGACCCCTACCCCCTTAGAATTGTCTACTCGGTGTACCCCCCTGAGATGAAGTTGGATCCCCACTTCATCCCAGACCTTTGCAAATCGACTCTCAGCAATAACAAGCAACTTTCCCACCTCAATGTGGTCGTGGACAAGCGTGTCAACGACAGAACCTTCATCTATCTCTAGGAGCAAGCCACCGCCCACGGCATCACTCCTTGAAACTTGGCGTCAGCTGGCATTACACGGTAAGCGGGTGCTGGACGCGGCTTCCACACTGCTGNAAATCGACTCTCAGCAATAACAAGCAACTTTCCCACCTCAATGTGGTCGTGGACAAGCGTGTCAACGACAGAACCTTCATCTATCTCTAGGAGCAAGC